GCTCGGGGCTCGGTCGGAACCGTCCGGCGCGCCCGATCCGATGCTAGCGCAGCGGCTGCGCGCAGCTTCGCTCCAGCGGCGGCCTTCCAAGCCATGGCCTTTCCCTTCCCGAGGCGACGCGGGACTGGGGCCGCACCAGCGGCAGCGACTCCCAACAGCCCCAGCCAGGAAGGGAAAGGCAAAAAGCGCTTTGCCTTTCCCTTCCCGAGGCGGCGGGACTGGGGCCGCGCCGGCGGCAGCGACTCCCAACAGCCCCAGCCGGGAAGGGAAAGGCAAAAAGCATTTTGCCTTTCCCTTCCCGAGGCAACGTGAGATAGTGAGATCGTTTCCCAAATTAATTATTTTTATTTTTGAAATTTACCAGTAGCTGCTGCATTTCCCACCCTCGGCTTATACTCGAGTCAATAAGTTTTCCCATTTTTTGTGTGTGTAAAATTAGGTGCCTCGGCTTATATTCGGGTCGACTTATACTCGAGTATATACGGTAATATAACTATAGAAGACACATGTTTCTGAGGAATCCCCAGTGCTGCTATGCAAAATCTAGCCACCTGCGCTGTAGTTATGGACTGTTCAGCCACTGAAGGTAAGCAGTGTCAGAATGGACAGGATACCTAGCAGTTATTGGCAGAATATGTTTTTATCCTAATCTCTCTGTAAAAGGAACATCTATGGAGCATGTGACCCACGGCCTCCACCTCTCCTGAGCCGCAGGAACAGAGTCTTTCCTTCAATGGCATCCTTTTATACTTGCCATACAGGATGGCCGAAGGAAGCGCACGGCACAGTTAATGGAATGGATTTTATACTCGCAGGGCCCAAAACCTTGTGTGGATCCCATCAAACCTGCCGCTGTAGCTTTCAACATGCATTTTACACATTCTTGCGGAGGTTTCTGCCCCAAAAGAATCCCGATGAAAGAAAGCTGAGGTAAATCCCCCGAGAAAGCTCTCATAAAAAGAAGTGTTTACTTTTGCAGGGCGCACTCCAAGGTGTTCTTTTCATCGTCAGCTTCGTGGAGCTGAGAGAAGATTTTCGTCAGGAACTCTTCAAAATTGGAAAGGAGGTGAGGCTCATGTTTCTTCAAGTGCAGCCAGAGTTTCTTCATGTCATTTTCACTGGAGGAAAAGAAAAAGAAAATAAATGCAGGTTAGGATCTAATTCTCAGAAGTTTCAGGAGAAAATATAATTTTAGCATTCTGGTACCACAAAGTAAGAATCCTGAGGATAGATGAACGAATCAGTGGCTTTTTCCTGGTTTTTTCCCCCCTTCCAATTCTGATTTTATTTATTTATTGAACTTACATGGTCTTCCATCTTAAATCTATGGCTGTGGGCAGCCAATGGAGAATAAAAACAAGATAAAAACCTCATAAAAGTAAATCCAGGTGATCTTTGACTTAAGATCATAATTGAGCCCAAAATTTCTGTTGCTAAGCCAGACAGTTGTTAAGTGAGCTGAGCCCCATTTTATGACCTTTCTTGCCACAGTTGTTAAGCGAATCAGAGTAGTTGTTAAGTTAGTCACACGATTGTTAAGTGAATCTGGCTTCCCCATTGATCTGACCCCATGACACTGCAACTGTCATAAATATGAGCCAGTGGCCAAGCTTCCAAATTTTAATTACCTGATGACAAGGATGTTGCAACAGCTTAAAGGTATTTAGAATTCATAATATCAAGCACGTCCCTTGAGGCACATTTGTAATAGGTACAAGCTGAGGCCCAGTTTCTATTTTAGAATGACTGAATTTCCCAATTTCCCAATACAATTATAGTTAAAAGTTCCCACCTAAAATATGCACTAGCGACTCCCATCAAATCTGCTCTCCATTACAGTAAGAAAACTGAACTTGAAATAATTTTTAAGAAATCTATCTTACAGACTAGAACTAAGGAGAAATTTACTGACAGTGAGAACAATCAACCCATGGAACAGAAGTTGCTTTCAGAAGTTGAGGGAGCTTCATCACTTGAAGGTTTCAAGAAGAGACTGGAAAACCATTTATCCAGAATAGTATAAGGGTCTCCTGCTTCAGCAGGGGGTTGGACTAGAAGACCTCCAAGGTCCCTTCCAACTCTATTATTCTATGTTCTCTGGAAAAAGTATAGAACCACAGAAACTCACTTTGGATCTACCCTCTTGGGAGACTGAAAAATAAGTGCATTAACAGATGGAAATTGTAAAATAAGTTTTTTTTAAAAAAAAAAAAAAAAGTTTTGAAGCGGGTTTTGTTGCACAGGTGGACATATTTTTTCAACCTTGATATAAAGCAGCCTTCGTACACCTGACCTTTTTCCAGGTCAAAATAGCACAAACCAGAACGATGGTGTTTTTGTGCTTCTTCTCCTTCATTGCTTCAGTGGCAATACTTACTCCTTCAAGATATTCTCGGCTCCAAGTTGTTCCATGAGATTTGAAAACTGCTCTTCTTCTTCATTCCCCGCTGCGACGCTTTCTTTCGGTTTAGGATGAAAGCCAGTTTCACAGACCTCAGCAAAAGGTTCCTTCCTCCCCGACAAAAACTGGCCTGCAGGTTTTAAAAGATTTGCTTTTATTGGCCCTCGAGGTGTTTGCAATAAAATGAGAAAGAAAAAAATCTAGTTGAAACACCGTGAAGAATAAATCATATTAAATTAGCTCCTGTAATCTGGAAGAAAAAAAGATGTCATTTTCTGATAAAGATTACAACAGAAGAGCATCAAAATTCTACAACATTCATTAAACTGTTTCAGGATAATGCTTGACTTACAAGAGTTGGTTTAATGACTGTTCAAAGTTGCAACGGCCTTGAAAATTACTTATGACTGTTTCATGTTTATGACCATTTCAGCATTTCCAGTGGCCAAATGATCAAAATCCAGCCTCTTGACAACTGATTCATATTTATGACCATTGCACTCTCCCAGGGTCATACGATCACTTTGTGAAAGCAAAGTTGATGAAGAAGCTCCTCTTAAGAAGCCCTGGCCATAACTTAACAACTCCAATGATTCACTTAGTAACGGTGGCACTTAATAAAAAGGATTGTACAGATAGACCGTGACTTACAAGAGTTTGTTTAGTGATTGTTCAAAGTTACCACAGCACTGGAAAAAGTGACTTACGACCAGGGGTGGGATTCTACCAGTTTGCACCTATTCATTAGAACCGGTTGTTAACATTCTAAGCAGTTCGGAGACCCAGTTGTTAGAAGAAATTACTGGCCTAATCCTGTAAGGAAGGCAGGAAGGAAACATTCTGGTGTTGCTTACAGAAACTGCCTCTCCGTTAACCCTTATTACATTCTTGGCAGGACTAGACTTCCTGTCTCAGGAACGTCTCTGGAGGTTTTTTTTCCCCTCCTTTGCTGGTACTTTGCTTATGTGGAGTGACCATTTAAAGTTACAATGGCACTGAAAAAAGTGACTTATGACCATTTTTCACACTTACGACTGTTGCAGCATCCCCACAGTCATGAGAGGCCAGGCAAGGAGATGTGTGCCTCAATGTGAGTGATATTGAGTTGGCCACGCCCAGCCAATAACATGACCACGAAGCCATGTCTACCCAGTCACATGACCACCAAGCCACGCCCACCACCTAAGCCATGCCCACAGAATCGGTTGTTAAAAAATTTGAATCCCACCCCTGCTTATGACCATTTTTCACACCATTTGTGACCGTTGCAGCATCCCTATGGTTACGTGATTTGCATTTGGATGCTTGATAACTGACTCACAATTGCAGTGTCCCTGGGGTCATGTGATCCCCTTTTGCGACCTTCTGACAAGCAAAGTCCATGGGGAAGCCAGACTGTGCTATTTTAACAACTTCAGTGATTCACTCAAACAAGGAAAGTCATAAAATGGGCCAAAGCTCACTTAACAAATTTCTGACTTTAACAGCAGACATTTTGGGCTCAATTGTGGTCGGAAGTTGAGGGCTGCCTGTAAAATGGGCCAAAGCTGACTTAAAGACTGTCTCGCTCAGCAATGGAAATTTGGGCTCAATTGTGGTCGTAAGTCAAGAACTACCTGTACATTAAGAGCAGAAGGACTTTAAGTTTCAATATACTGAATGACAAATAGATAATCAGGTCCAGTAAATGGCCTGGCAGTTTCTCATGCCGTGAACATTTTATTGAGCCCCTCTAGCAACAGAAGCTCAATTAAAGTCTCCATTAAATCACCAATCACTGTTTAAGTCTCCATTAAATCACCAAAATACTTATAACTGAGCTGCAGACTAAGTATCTACTAAGGCAGGGGTGTCAAACTCAAGGCCCGCGGGCTGGAGGGCTTAGATCTGGCCTGCAGGGCTGCCCTGGAAACAGTGAAGGAACAGCCTGTGGTGCCTCTGCCAGCAAAAATGGAGCCCGGGAGGGATGTGCCCCCCCCCCCGGGCCCTTTTTCAATCACATGCAGCCCTCTGCCATGCGTGGCCCTGCTGAGCTCCATTTTCGCTGATGGAGACCTAGCAAAACAAACTAAAAGCAAAACAAAAGGATAAATGTTTCCCCCTTTTGCATTCAGCATGCAAGAAGGGGCAGGAATGGAGAAAGGAAAAGAGGAAAGGCAAAGAAAAAGAGGGGAAGAGAGCAAGGGAGGAAAAATAAGGAAAGGGGAAGGAAGGAAGGAAGGAAGGAAGGAAGGAAGGAAGGAAGGAAGGAAGGAAGGAAGGAAGGAAGGAAGGAGAATGAAGAAGGAAGGAAAAAGAAGGAGCAGCAGGAATGGAGAAAGGGAAAGAGGAAAGACAAAGAAAAAGAAGGGAAGATGGGAAGAGAGCAAGAGAGGAAAAAGAAAGAAAGGGGAAGGAAAAAGAAGAAAAGGAAGGAAGGAAGGAAAGAAGGAAGGAAGGAAGATTATGAGAGAGAGGGAAGTCCTGCCTTAGCGCTTGATCACCACAGTGCCCCCATTCTGGATAAATACAAGTGACATTGAGATGGCCATGCCCACCCCACCCACGCCCATCCCCGAGGTCAAACACAACCCTGATGTGGCCCTCAATGAAATCGAGTTTGACACCCCTGTACTAAGATGGACATCTCCCCTTGAGGTTGGATAGCAAAGGAAAGCACTGCTGAATGCTTTTCTCCTTTGGGATTTCTACTGAGATAGGCAACTGGCTGTGGGAAAAGAAAGGAAGGAAGAAAGGAAGGAAGGAAGGAAAAGAAAGAAAGGGAAGAAAGGAAGGAAGGAAGGAAGGAAGGAAGGAAGGAAGGAAGGAAAAGAAAGAAAGAAAGAAAGGAAGGAAGGAAGGAAAGGAAGGAAGGAAGGAAGGAAGGAAGGAAGGAAGGAAGGAAGGAAGGAAGGAAGGAAGAAAGAAAGAAAGAAAGAAAGAAAGAAAGAAAGAAAGAAAGAAAGAAAGAAAGAAAGAAAGAAAGAAAGAAAGAAAACTAAGCCTTCTCAAGCAAGGCTATGGGATTAGTCATCCAGGATATAGGAAGGAACTGAATCCACACAGAGTCTTAAATGTTAAACACAGGTGAGTAAATAGAGAGAATCGCATGACGAATGACTGAGGGAACTAGGTAAGCCTAGCCTACCAAAGAGAAGGATTGGGGGGGGGGGGGGTTGACCTGATGGCTATCTTCCAGTATTTGAGGGGCTGTCGCAGAGAAGAGGGGGTCAATTTATTCTCCAAAGCACCAGAGGACAAGAAGTAATGGGTGGAAATTTGTTAAGTAAGAAGAAGAAACAGAATTAAGGAGAAATTTCCTGACAGCGACAACAATTAATCAATGGAACAACCCAAAGAAAGAAATGTCCCAATTAAAGGACCCCATGAGCCTCGGTGGCACAGTGGTTAGAGTGCTGTACTGCAGGCTACTTCTGCTAACTGCTGTCTGCCTGCAATTTGACAGTTCGAATCCCACCAGGCTCAAAGGTTGACTCAGCCTTCCATCCTTCCGAGGTGGGCAAAATGAGGACCCAGATTGTTGGGGACAATAGGCTGACTCTGTAAACCGCTTAGAGAGGGCTGTAAAGCACTATAAAGCGGTATGTAAGTCTAAGTGCTCTTGCTATTCCTTCCTCCCTCCCTCCCTCCCTCCCCCCCTCATTCCTTTTCTCATTCTCTTTCCTTGTGGCGCAGTGGTCAGAATGCAGTACTGCAGGCTGATTCTGCCCACTGCCAGCAGTTCGATTCTGACCGTCTCAAGATTGACTCAACCTTCCATCCTTCCGAGGTCAGTAAAATGAGGACCTAGATTGTTGGGGGCAAGAGGCTGACTCTATAAACCACTTAGAGAGGGCTGTAAAGCACTGTGAAGCGGTATATAAGTCTAAATGCTATTGCTATTGGCTTTCCTCTAGATCATGTTATGCTACAGAAAAATGAGAAATCAAGTAATGTAAATGAACGCATAAAAGAACCACCAGAATAGGAATTGACTGTTAGGTGAATTACTTGTAAAGCACAATGTGGACTGAGAACTCACTGAATCCGGTGGTGAATTCTTCTAGAGTAAGAGAGCCGTTGCCGTCTGCATCCAGAGTGTCAAATACTTTCTCCAGCTCTTCGGGGACAAGAGGTAACTCCCCATGGAGTCTCTAAAAGGACAGTGTTTTCCTCAGTTACACAGGCGTTACGTGTAAATTAAAAGGTTAGTTTTGAAAAGATCTTGAAAACAAAACGGACAAATAATTTAGGTGAATGGAAGATTGCTTTTCTTTTTACCCAGTGGGATTGCAACTATCTATAGTAAGAAATAAGCCTCATTGACTCATGAGGACTTCAGCCTGTGGCTTACTAAGGTAATGGTCTGGATTAGAAGGGCACCAAAGAAATTTGAAATCTATGCAATGTCTAAATTAAATAGCCATCAGTGACACAAAATTCCGTAGATACGATAAAGGACAATTCCTTTCACACTACAAGTAGACCTCTTCTTACAACAGTTCATTTCGGGACTGTTTGAAGTTACTATTGCACTGAAAAAAGTGACTTATGACCATTTTTCACACTTTTGACCTCTGTAGCATCCCCATGGTCATGTGATCAAAATTCAGATGCTTGGCAATTGGTTCGTATTTATGACAGTTGCAATGTCCTGGGGTCATGTGATTGCGAACACCTTATGTGACCATCTGACCAGCAAAATCAATGGGGAAGCCAGATTCACTCTACAGCCATATTACCAGCTTAACAACTGCAGTGATTCACTTAAGAACTGTGGCAAGAGAGGCTGTAAAACAGGGCACAATTCAGAGAACTGTCTCATTTAGCAACAGAAATATTGGGCTCCCTTATGATGGTAAGTTGGGGACCGCCTGTAGTTTTTCAACTCTTTTGGTCATCATTATCCTCCTTTTAATCAGGATTGAGCTTCACATTCTTGTCATGGTGATTTATCCTTTGGCTAGCAGAGACCTGATTTGGAGGATCCTAGATATTTGTTCTATAAAGAACATTGATTCTAAGCTCCACCGTAAGACAGTCCTTGTAGTTATAATGATGAAACACTGGACAGCTATACAAACTGAATGAATGAATGAATAAATAAATGAATGAATGAATCTAACTCTATCCCCTAGGGTGTGCAAAGTTCCCCGTGACTCCTTCTAAGGAAAGGACATCAATTCCAGCCATGATGCATGGCTGGAGTATCCCTTTCCTGTAAACAGCCTTCCTGCTTCTTTCCGTATTCCTAAATTTTCTGGTTCCTTATCATACGGACATATCATTGGCATCTAATCTTGAATTAACTCCCATGAGGTCCATTGTCCCAGGACCTTTAACGCAGGTCTAATGACCCTAAAATTCCGACTCAGCCCTCTCTATATAGATCTACTCATTGGGACTCTCTTAAACAATACGTAAGCCAATACCCATAAGGGACTTTCTGACAGATTTATATCCTTCATCCCGTGTGTGTTATCTTTCCTGTGTTGAACTAATTCACAGACAAGTAATAAAGCGGTAGAGCCAGTTTGGTGTGATGATTAAGGTATTAGGCTAGAAACCAGAAGACCCCGAGTCCTAGTCCCACTTTAGGCACAAAGCCAGCAGGGCGACCTTGGGCCAGTCACTTTCTCTCAACCCTAGGAAGGAGGCAATGGCAAAATATTTCTGGAAAACCTTGCCAAGTAAACTGTAGGGACATGTCCAGGCAATCTCCAAGAATCTGACATGATTGAATGGAATACTTTAAAAAAAAAAAAAAAACCACGTGAGAATAAAAGAGCTATTCATTCTTGCTGGCTGACACCCAAGGTAACTTCAAGCAGGAGAGATAAATGGTTCCTTGAAAAAAAAAAAAAGAACAAATACTTATAAATCTACCTTTTGCAATTTACCTGCATGTCATGGCGAGCAATAAACCCCTTCCTTTCTACATCACAGATCTGGAAGAATTCGTGCGCTTTGGCTAACACATCCAATTGGCTTCCTGAGTCACCTGCTACTTTGCTGCTTTCTGGATCTTCCTGTAGCTGGGGATGTGCAACGCGTCTTTTCTGTCTCTCCATCTTCACAGATTTTCATGAAGTTGCCCTTTCGTTAGCCTCAAAACGCAGCCCATGAGCTGAACAGCGAAAGAAGAGAAGGGAAATAAAGAGTCCTGCTTTGAAGTTCTTGGTGATAACTTTTTTTTTGTAACCACTCCTATAAATAGCTTCTGAAGCACCAAAGAACTGCCTAAAAGGTAAACATGCAGCCTGTTTGACATTCTCATTAAGCTAGATGAGTTAACATTGTTGTTTCATGTATTTTATGTAAGGATGTGCTGAATCTCTAGAATGTGTTATTCACCAAGCCCACCAAAACTCCTTGAGGATGTAGACCATTAAGCTAAAAACTCAATCAATCAATCAATCAGAATAGAGCTGGAAAAGCCCTTGGAGGTCTTTTAGTCCAACTCCAGCTTGAGCAGGAGAGCCTATATCATTTTGAATTAATGGTTGTCCAGTCTCTTTTTGAAAGCCTCCAGTGATGGATCCCGCACAACTTCTGAAGGCCACCTATTCCGTTGGTTGATTGTTCTCACTATCAGGAAATTTCTCCTTAGTTCTAGGTTGCTTCTTTCCTTGTTTAGTTTCCATCCATTATTTCTTGTCTTGCCTTCTGGTGAAAGTTACATCATGCCATCATATCATCAGTTACATCAGGGGTCTCAAACTCATATCATCACGGCAGCATCACATGACGTATCAGGACTTTTTTTCCTCCTTCTCTAAAATGGACATGGGTGTGGCCAGCACGTGATGCATCCAGTCCCTCCCTGGGCCAGGAGTTTGATGGCCCTGAGTTACATCATACCAACTGGAAATGATTTATTTGCTGCTCTTCTACCAATGATGAGCAAGCTAGCAAAGTGTGGACTTAGTAGAAGATTGTGGGGAGATCCATAGCTCGCACTAAAACTGTACTCAGTGCTCAGCAACAGTTCAATAAATGAGGATAATCTATTAGGAAATAATTTGCTGATGCACTTAAAAATCAGAAATCAGATTTGTATAAAGTATTCCTTAATTAAAAGAGTTGTTCTATAATTTGCAAGTTAGTTGTTTTTTTCCTGCCAAAGCTATTTTCAATAAGTCTCTAAATATCATTGATTCAAGAAAAGATGTTTCTAGTCATTTTGCTACAATAAACATTTTAGGGTAGCTAAAAAAAAATAGTATATACCAGCTATTAGCAACAGAACTGTTACATTGCATCATCACAGAATATCTATTTTAAAAAATTGAAAAGCCACATGAAAATTAAGAACCAAAGTTTATTGCCAAATGTTTCTAAATACAATATAACCATCCAGTCCTGGGGGGGGGGGGGGGGGATCATGTGATGCCATCGCTTTCCTAGGCAGTTGTTTCATGATTTAATAGAAATTCAGCCTGAATCTCCTTTCTTGGGTTCCAAGCCTTTTCTCCTTATACAACAGAGAACAGAGCAGACCAGAGACGAGAAGTTGATTAGGGGACTGGAGGCTAAAACATATGAAGGATGGTTGCAGGAATTGGGTATGTCTAGTCTAATCTAGTGAAAAGAAGGACCACAGGCGACAGTTTTCCAATATTTGAGGGACTGCCACAAAGAAGAGGGAGCCAAGCTATTCTCCAAAAGACCTGAAGACAAAACAAGAAGCAATGGGTGGAAACTAATCAAGGAGAGGAGCAACCTAGAACCAAGGAGAAATTTCCTGACAGTGAAAACAATTAACCAGTGGGACAATTTGCCTCCAGAGGTTGTGAATGCTCCAACACTGGAGGTTTTTAAGAAGAGACTGGACAGCCACTTGTCTGAAATGATACAGGGTTGCCTGGTTGAGCAAGGGGTTGGACTAGAAGACCTCCAACTATCTTACTCTCTTAAACAGAGCTACCTCTGCGTGATAATCTTTTAAAGGTTGGCCGATTCCAGTCACAGGACCTCCCTGTGTCTTCCCTTTAGCAAGCTAAGCGGGCCCAGATCCTTGATCTGTCCCACAAAGTGCCTCGTTTCCAAAGCCAAGAGAATAATCAGTAGTTTTTCCCCCTCCTGCTGTTTGGTGGGTCGGAGGAGAACAAAGCTGTGGATTCCACCAATAGTTGACCTCCACCTGCTTTCCATACATCACAATGCAAGGGTGCACTATTTCTATAAAAGATACCCACTTCAACTGATGTGCGCTATTAAAAATAGATTTTAAAGGATTGCAACTTGGGAGATATCTGGCCTGCTTGATATCCACTCCTAAAGATCTAACTTTCTCGGGTCCAGCCCAGTGTTTTCTCCTGAAGTTGCTTTTGGTCCAGGGAACAAAGTTAAAAGCAACTTGACAATCTTCCAGCAATCTGGGCATTTTTGAAGCCCCAGATTGGACCCTGAAGGAGTTGAGTAACATCTCAAGTGGAAACAGGAGCAGAATTAAGAGCCTCTTGTGTATGTATATTCAGTTATTTGGGCTTATTAAGCACATGCCTGGTAGATTCTGAAAGATCTTAAAATAATTATGCAGAAAGCCTTTGGATTTCTCTTGAGGGAAGAGATTAATCAGGTCTAGAATGATAACAAAGGCAACCTAACTATCTGTTCAACCTATAAAGGTCTGTCTCTGTTTAACTCAGTTTGTTATATCTTTACCTTATAAGAATGAATGCAGCACTGTGGCCAAGATCAGGAGAGCGCAGCCATGCCTTCCCTTTCACATTTGTACAGGAAGTACCGTGTATCTGTGACGCCAAGAATGCTTACTACTGTAGTGTTGAGAAATTTGCATCTGCTTGTCCTAGCTGAGTTTAATAGGGGTGGTGAGGAAATCCACGTAACCACAGGAAACATAACAGTCATTTCAAGTATGTCATGCTTGAAACATATGCAACGAATTTTCATTTTAATGTATGCCAATTGGTGTACATTCAAAGTGACAATAAAGACATCCAAAGTCTAAGTTTTCTTTGTGCTTGCTAGAGAAAAAAAACACCGCCGATCAGGACTTTCACACATTGTTGACTAAGCCAGAGATTATATAGGCTGAGGTCTTAGAAAATTCTGAGCAGGCAGATTTAGAAAAGAATTTGGATCTCGGGTTTCTCAAAACTAGCCCTGATGTCAGGTGAATTTGGGCCAGTTTGGTCTAATGATTAAGGCACCGGGCTAGACAGCGGGAGACAGTGAATTCTAGTCCTGCTTTCGCCATGAAAGCCAGCTGGGTGACTTTGGGCCAGTTCCCTCCCCCCCCTCTCTCTCTCCTCAACCCGACTCACCTCAAAGGGTTGTTGTTTTGGGGAAAAATAGGAGGAGGAAGGTGTGTCTGATATGTTTGCCGCTCTGGGTTGTTGTAAAAATAAGAAAAGCAGGATACAAATAAAGAAATAAACAATAAATACATGTTTGCTGCCTTGAGCTAACTATAGAAAATAATAAAAGACAAATCCTTATGTGTAAGCCAGCCAGATTGATTGGATACAAGATGGGCAGCAAATAAATTTTATAAACACACACACACACATACAGAGAGAGAGGGGGGAATGGAGGGAGGGAGGGAGGGAGTGTGAGAGAGAGAGAGAGAGAGAGAGAGAGAGAGAGAGAGAGAGAGAGAGAGAATGAATTGCCTCTCATGCAAACCCTAAGCAGACTCAAGAGATATGAACTCTGCATGTGCAACAGTAATTCAGTTCTAAATCACACACACACACACTTATCAAAAGCAGACAGCAGGGAGAGACGATGTAATAATATTCTGGGACTCCGGTGTTCCCAAATTACTTTCATGTCAAGAATGATGTAGTCCTCTCTACCTAGTAGTTAAGTAAGAGGGATCCGAAGCATTATCATCCGGCATAATAACCCCTGAGCAAACTCGATGTATCACACACTATTCCAAGGAGAGGAGCACAGCTTGCAAATATGCCAATATGTATTCAGGAGACACACCTGGAGTGTAAAGCAGTTAAAGAATGTAGGTTCACCACCTGGCTAGCAGGTTAGCACTGTTATTGCATTTTTTAAAATAAATTTGAGTGAAGACTTTTCACCTCAAGAAAGTAACAGAATAACAGAGTTGGATGGAACTTTGGAAGTCTTCCAGTTCACCTTGGAAGTCTTCCTCTTGCTCAAGCAGGAGATCCTATACCATTCTGGACAAATGACTGTCCAATCTCTTCTTAAAAACCTCCAGTGATGAAACAATTTCTGGAGGCAAGTTGTTTCACTGGTCAATTGTTCTTACTGTCAGGAAGTGTCTCCTTGGTTCTAGGTTGCTTTTCTCTTTGATAAGTTTCCATCCATTGTTTCTTGTCCTGCCCTCAGGTGCTTTGGAGAATAGCTTGAAACCCTCTTTTTTGAGGCAGCCCCTGAGATATTGGAACATGCTATCATGTCACCCCCAATCCTTTTCTTTGTAAGACTAGACCAGGGGTCTGCAACCTGAGGCTCTGGAGCCACATGCGGCTCTTTTGGCCCTCGGCTCCCTGTCGGTTGATCCCACCACTGGCTGGCCCCTCCCCTCCCCTCCCCATCACTCCTCACCTGGCCTGAGAAGGCAAGGGTGATGGCGGGGGATGGAGACTCGCTCCATATTTCAGAGCAGGAGGTGACTGGGTGGGAGTGAGTGACGTTGAGTTGGCCAGGCCCACCCAGTCACATCGGTTGTTAAATTATTGGCTCCCGGTGTTTTCTTTTCTGTGGGAAATGGGTCAAAATGGCTCTTTGAGTGTTTAAGGTTGCAGACCCCTGGACTAAAACAACACTGAATAAAAAACTGCTGGTGACCTTCTACCGCTACACCATAGAGAGTATTTTAACTTACTGCACCTCTGTATGGTTTGCCAATTGCATAGTGGCAGATAGAACAGCACTCCAGAGGGTTAACGTCATTGCCCAGAGGATCATTGGTTGCCCTCTCCCCTCTTTGGAAGAGCTTTATAGCTCCCGCTGCCTTAAGAAAGTTCCAAACATTCTTATTAAAGATCCATCTCATCCTGGGCACCCTTTTTTTGAACTATTACCATCTGGAAGACGGTACAGGATAATAAAAACAAATAGGCTGAAAAACAGCTTCTATCCCAGGGCAGTAGCTCTGATGAATTCTGCTGTATAGTGTAATGTTAGTGCGGTGTTGCGGGTTTTCAGTTCAATGTGTGGAGTGTGAAGGATGTGTGTTTGTGTTTATTGTCATGGTCACAATGTGCACTGAAGATGGTGTTTGATTTCGTTGTACGAGGTGCAACGACAATAAAGTAAACTAAACTATTACAGCTAGTCCTCAACTTACAACAGGTCGCTTAATGACCTTTCAAAGTTACAAAAGCACTGAAAAAAGTGACTCAGGAGCGTTTTTCACACTTAACAACCATTGAAGCATCCCCATGGACACGTGATCAAAATTCAGGCGCTTGGCAACTGATTCATATTTATGACGGTTGCAGCACCTACAGGGTCATGGGATTCCCCTTGTATGACCTTCTAACAAGCAAAGCCAACGGGGGAGCCAGATTCACCTAACAACCATGTCACTAACTTAACAACTACAGTGATTCACTTAACAAACGTGGCAAGAAAGGTCGCAAAATGTGGCCGAACTCACTTAGCAACATACATTTGTGGTCATAAGTCGAGGACTATCTGTTATCTAACCCGCTGAAAAATCTGCAGACTGAATTCGGGTGAGATTCCCCCATACCAACAGTACACCTACAAACGAAAACTTCTTGATAGAATGGGCGATTGTAAGTAATATTTAGGTTTATGCTTATAATTATGAACCACGTGATTATTATCCTTTTGATAAAAGTAACTGGGCACTGTTTTTACAGCTCAAGACCCTAGCAAACGTATTAGCCGTGGCAATAAAGAAATAGTTTTCACACATTCATTCTTTAATAGGCTATAACTATGGGTGGTTCCTGTGACATCTGTCATTTTTTTCCTCCTGATTCATCACCTAATAGCTGCCCATCTGATAAGAAGGTAGTTAAAAGTGGGAAATGTGTGTGTTTCTCAGGTTATATTTATATCAGGTGGCACAGTTGCTTATCAAATGATAAGACAGAATTGAACACCGGTTGTAACCCTCCTCTTTCTACTGCATAATAACCATATTGTCTGACGAAGATGCCTTGAAAGTTTTGTGTCTCTTTTGTAAACTTTTGATTCACCTAATAACAGGGTTGCCCTCATGAAAATATGGAGTTGGATTTGGTCAGTGGAATTGGTTTTTTGCTTTTCCCAGGTTAAGGAGAGCAATCAACCAATGGAACAGAAGTTGCCTTCGGGAAGTTATGGGAGCTTCCTCACTGGAGGCTTTCAAGGGAGACTGGACTGCCATTTGTCAGGGATGGTGTGGGGTTTCCTGCTTGGGTGGGGTGGGGGGTTGAACTAGATGACCTACAAAGTCCCTTCCAACTCTGTTTATCCAATCTAAAGTGCATATCAAGTGTGCATTCCTTTTCTTTAAAAAAAGAGAAAAGTGACAAGATTATGCAACTTTTTAAAGAATATTTTGAAAATGCCTGCAGGGAAAAAAAAATTGTTTTGAAATACTGTACTCTGGATTCATAATTATAAAACCTTAAAAATCTCCCTCAAAGAAAACCTGCTTCTTCTTGCTACTAGTTCTCAGCTACATGTAAGCGTTCTGAACAGCATCGGCAAATGGAAGGGCATAGCGCTGGTTGTTTAAAATACAAAAAGCATTACTGGCTGCATTCCAATATATAAAATGCAGAGGAAGTAAAAGTAGGCACGCTCCTCTCTTAAACACTCCTAAAATGGCTACTTGGGAGTTGGATTTCTTTTTGTTTCTGAGTATTTTTCTTTCCTTTGATGCAGCCCTGCCTGCACTTAAAGACTTAAAAGAAAGAAAGAAAAAGTACCCTATGAGATGAGGGAACTTACTTACCTCTCTCTCGTATTGGCTGATGCCTCCTGCAGTCAAAGCTACAGTTTTAAGCCTGATCTTTTGGTCTACCTGAGCATAGGGACACTGAAAAGGAAGAAGGAAGAGCATAGAAGAGGACTCGGTGCCTTGCTCAATCAACACGCAGGGCTGAGAAAGGCAACGGTGGGCGGAAGGGGAGCGAGTCTAACCAGTTCTACCTCCTTTTAAGTCCTGTCAATATGCCTATATGCATGAGTGTGTCTCCCAGTGTGTGTTTTCTAGAGCTGTAGCAATGCTGGAGGAAGAGCCGTTAAGTTAGAGAAACTTAAGAATCTCGGCTAATTAAAATTTTTTTTACAGGGCATTTAATGGATCTACCCCAAAATACAGGATAGGCACTAACACAGTGAGCCAGGATTTAATACCAACAATTTAAGAGTAATTGGGGATGTCTTGTTTAACAAGTCAACAATTGTTACCAACCTGCCTTCCATGGAGGACCTGTACACTGCACGAGTCAAAAAGAGGGCTGTGAAAATATTTACAGACCCCTCACATCCCGGTCATAAACTGTTTCAACTCCTTCCCTCAAAACGATGCTATAGAGCACTGCACACAGAACGACTAGACACAAGGACAGTTTTTTCCCAAAAGCCATCACTCTGCTAAACAAATAATTCCCTCAACACTGTCCAACTATTTACAAAGTCTGCATTACTATTACTATTAATCTTCTCATCACTCCTATCATCCATCCCCTCCCACTTGTGACTGTATGACTGTAACTTTGTCACTTGTATCCTAATGATTGTTATTGACTGTTTCCTAGTATGATTTGATTGCTTATTGTACCCTATGACTATTATTAAGTGTTGTTGTACCTTATGATTCTTGACTCTTGACAAATGTATCTTATGTATACTGAGAGTATTTACACCAAGACAAATTCCTTGTGTGTCCAATCACACTTGGCCAATAAAGTATTCCATCCTGTTCTATTCAAGTAAGAGCTGGGGGATGTCTAGTCTAGTGAAAAGGAGGACTGGGACGACATGATAGTGATGTTCCAATATCTGAGGGGCTGCCACAAAGAAGAGGGGGTCAGGCTATTTTCCAAAGCACCCAAAGGCAAGACAACTATCAATAGATGGAGACTAATCAAGGTGAGAAGCAACCTAGAACTAAGGAGAAATGTCCTAATAGTGAGAACAATTAACCAGTAGAAGAGCTTGCATTCAGAAGTTGTGGGTGTTTCATCACTGGATGCTTTTAAGAAGAGACTGGGCAGTCATTCACCTGAAATGGTATAGGGTCTCCTCTTTGAACAGAGGGTTGGACTAGAAGACCTCCAAAGGCCCCTTCCTACTCTGTTATTCTCAGTCCAGGTAGAAATCTTCTACAGGTAGTCCTCAAATTACAACAGTTCATTTAATGACGGTTCCAAGTTACAACAGCACTGAAAAAGACTTATGAACATTTTTCATATTTAAGACCATTGCGGCATTCCCAGGATTAAAATTCAAACGCTTGGTAACTGACCCATATTTATGACAGTTAGCATCCCAGGATCACCTGATCACTTTTTGTGATCTTCTAACAAGCAGTCAATGGGAAAGCCAGATTCACTTACAATCATGTTACTAACATTAACTGCAACTGTGGCCAGAACGGTTACAAAATGGGGCAAAACTCACTTAACACCTGTCTTGCTTAGCAACAGAATTTTGGGCTCAATTGTGGTCATAAGTCGAAGATTACCTGTACTCCAAATTATGAAAAGTGGGGGACGAGGTCTATTCTATAAATTAGAAAGCACAGATGCAGAAGGAAATCAACTTCCTCACCAGAAGCTTTCAAGAAGAGATTGGACTGCCATTTGTCAGAAATGGTGTAGGGTCTCCTGCTTGGGTGGGGGTTGGACTAGATCAGGGGTCTCCAACCTTGTCAACTTTAAGCCTATAGGACTTCAACTCCCAGAATTCTGGGAGTTGAAGTCCTCCAGGCTTAAAATTGACAAGGTTGAAGACCCCTGGACTAGATGACCTACAAGGTCCCTTGCAACTCTGTTACTCTGTTAACTTGTCCACCGGATGACAAGCATTTCCCAGTTTGTAAGAGAAAGTTTCAACCTGGCTGTCATGTAATTAAGAATAATTTTTGGACAAGTTGAACTGGTAAAAACACAAAGCTCTCTCTGAAACCCCCCCAGAATTGCATTGCTGATGTTTAGTTGTGAAGGGTTATAAAGCAACTTTGATACTGACAATTATGGGGAGAGGAAAAGATCCATTAAGAACTGAGCAATATTTGGATTATCAAAGGATTTTAAAATGATGTTCCCACGACACTTAGAAATCTCCTTTTACGTCAGTCTCCAGGACACCCATTTCATCTTTTGTTTTTTACGTGACAGATGATCTCCTTAAATTGCAAAAATGCATTCCATTCTAGGAACTCATCACATATTATTTTGCCTTTTTTCAATTGTCAATTGGTCTTGTTTTATCCTATTTTTAGCATTTGTTTTTACTGTTTATTCAGACCTGACAGCGATTTGTTCACTGGCAGGGATTTAAGTGCAAATGTTTCACATCGGATACTTTGCGGGCTGGAAGGCCCATTGGTATGAACAAGGACTGTTGTGGGTTGTGAGCGGTAAAAGAGCCAGGCAGGACACATGCCAGCTCTCATAGGAGTCAGAATATCATCGTGCAGGCGCACTTATTCAAGAATAAACGGTGCTTCTTGACTGAACAGGGCTGGGCTCCTTACATAGCATAATTTTCCTTTTCTTTTTAAGCTTTTTATGTTCAGCATTGCCAGTCCTAAGTTATCTTTTCTCTACCCCAGTGCTTGTTCCAGTATCCTCTTGCTTCATTCCACACGTGTGTTGCCCTTCCTAAATCTAACTTTTTAGTGCCCAGTCTGCAACCTTCCCTCCTCTTTTGTCTCCATCCTTGCCCATCCCCTGGCAAGGCCAAGGAAGCATGGCACAGTCCTGCTCCAATCCATTGTACCCTGCAACCTATGGGCAACCCTGCCCAGCCTGCCACACAATTCTTCTTTCTTTCACCACTTCCTTCCTTCCGTCTAGTTCTTCCTTTCCTTTCTTCTTTTCTTCCACCTATTTCTTCTGTCCTTTTCTTTCTTCCATTTCTTTTTTTCTTTTGCTCCTTCCATCTATCTCTTCCTTTCCTTCAATCTCCTTCCTTCCTCCCCTTACCTTTCCCCCTTCTACCTATTTCTTCTTTTTCTTTCCTTTCCCCTTCCTTTCTTCTGCCAATTTCTTCCTTTCTGCCTTCCTTCCACCTAGTTCTTCCTACCCATTCCTTTCTTCCATTTTTTCCTTTCTTCTTCCATTTATTTCTTCCTTTCATTCACTCTTTCTTCTACCTATTTCTTCTTCCTTTCCTTTTCCTTCCTTCCTTCTATTTCCTTTCCTCCCTCCTTTCGCCTATTTATTCCCATCCTTTCCTTACCCCCTTCCTTCCTTCTGCCTATTTCTTCCTCCAATTTCTTCCTTTCCTTTTCTTTCCCCATTCCTTCCTTCTGCCTATTTCTTCCTTTCTTTTCTTCTATTTCTTCCTTTCCTTTTCTTTCCCCATTCCTTCCTTCTGCCAATTTCTTCCTTTCTTTTCTTCTATTTCTTCCTTTCCTTTTCTTTCCCCATTCCTTCCTCCTGCCAATTTCTTCCTTCTATTATTTCTTCCTTTCCTCTCCTTTTCCCCTTCTTTCGTCCCATCCTTCCTCTCATCTACTTCTGCCATCTCTTTCCATTCCTCCTTTCCCCTCTCAGCCCCAAGGCGAGCCACCCCAAGAGGAAACCGCAACCACCATCCAAATAACGAAAGCGCTCGCGCGCAAAACCCCTCCCCTCCCCCGCTCGATGCCTAAGGAGGGCGGGGACCTCGTCCGGGAGGGGGTGTCCTCTCTCTGCCCCCACTTCTCGCGAGATTCCACCGCGTTTCCCCAGCCGTCCGCCATTGGCCCAAGCGCTGCGCGCCGGCATGACGTCATTCGTGCAGGCAGCATCGATAGAGAGAGGCATGGCCGCCTTCGGCTTAACGGTCATCCGGCAGTGAGTATCTGGGCCCCGGGGGAGCTGCTATGTGGGGCCGCAGAAGGGATAGGGCCCTCGCGGAGTTCAGCCTCCTTCGCGGCTCTTCCGCCGGGCCCTGTGGGTGGTGCACGGGCGCAGGGGAGCCTCCTTGGCCCGAGGGAAGAGGGCGACCCAGCCGTTTGCCCAAGCCCGCTAAAGAAGCCCTGAGCCCGGGGTGGATGTTACCTCATAGAGGGACGAAGGCGGGTGTCTTGTATAATCGAGTCGGTTTGGGGCCTAGTGGTTAAAGCACCAGGCTGGAAAGCAGGAGATCCCTGAGTTCAATTCCCACCTTAGCCATGAAAGCCAGCTAAGTGACCCTGAGCCAGCCTCCCTCCCCCCTTCTCTCTTAGCCAACCCACCTCACAGGGTAATTGTGTGGAAAATAGGAGGAGGAAGGTGTGTTGGTTAGGGTTTCACGGCCTTGAGTTATTTACTAAAATAATAAAGGGCTTGCCCCCTCTCTTTTTTGGCCTAACCTACCTCACAGGGCTGCTGTTGTAGGGGAAATAGGATGAGGAAGGTGTGTTAGGTATATTCACAGCCTTCAGTTATTTATAAAAATTGAAATTAGTCTCTCTCTCTCTCTTTTAGCCCGACCCACCTTACGGGGTTGTTGTTAGAACAACAACAGAGTTGAAGGAAAATAGGAGGAAGGTGTGTTGGGATATGTTCACGGCCGTGACTTATTTATAAAAATAATAATAGTTATAGCACTTAGACTTATATACCACTTTACAGTGCTTTGCAGACCTTTCTAACCAGTTTACAGAGTCAGCATGTTGCCCCCAACGATCTGGGTCCTCATTTTACCCACCTTGGAAGGACGGAAGGCTGAGTCAACCTTGAGCCTGGTCAGATTTGAACTGCCAAATTGCAGGCAGCTGGCAGGCAGAAGAAGGAGCCTGCAGTACTGCACTCTAACTACTGTGCCACCGTGGCTCATAAAAAAGGGTTGAATTATTTATAAATATAAATATATATACATACATACAACTTTATCACGGTCGTCTGTCTTTGGAAAACGAGACACCTTTTTTTTGGTAGGGATTCTGTTCAGGCCTTAAAATGCATCACAGCAGGCCATTGTCTTCACACATTTGAGGCAACGTATTACCAGATAAGACTTGAGGGAATTTTTAAGTGTTTGGCCAAGCCTATGTGGCCCACAGAAGGTCATCCCGTTGGTCCCCCAAGATGATAATATAATCCTGATTATTTACATATGTAGATCACTGGCTTATCAGTATCCCATTACATTAAAGACACCATTTAGGTTTTCTTTAATCGTATTTTCCACTTCCTGTTCTTGTAGTCAGGGTGGTTGTGGGAAGGATTCCTAATGACCTGTGTCCTTGGGGAGACCTGATTATTATGGATTATGTAAATCACTCTGTAAATTCACTCCCTCTCAATCATTTGTGTGTGAAGTATATTATAAAGCAAAAGTTGAAGATTGAAGTAGAGATTGCAGATCCTGTATTCGCTCCAAGTCTAATGTTAGGATTTCATTATGTCTATTTCAAGAGCAAGTGTGAATAATGGCCTCTAAAAGCACACAATGATGATAATACAAACTATTGGATCAAAATCTTTGACATTTTCTTCCCCTCAAGTGTAGCAGGCACTTCATTCGGCTTTTCTAGTTAATTCAAAAATGAGAAACTCTGCTGTTCCAGAATGCTTATTTTCCATAATTATGTAGAAATGCTGCTGAATAGTATAGAGACTGCCAACAGTAAAAAATAATTTATATTGGCTTATATTGAAAGCAGTAAACTTCCTTCCAAAGCTAGCATCTTGTGAGGCTGAGGAAAATTCTAATGTATTAAAGATTTTAAAAATTATGTTCTTGTAATTACAGATTTTTAAATCAACAGCAGTGAAAATGAAAAGGACAATTGTGATTTTTGTCTCAAGCATTAAGAGCATTTTCTAAACTAAGTGTTACAATTTAAATACCTTGGTATGAACATTGCAAAACTCTTGCTTTGCTTGTGCAATTGATTAATTTGACTATTGTATCAAATTGTTTCGTAAAGCAAAAGAAAAAAATCCAGACTTAATCTGAAAGTTTAATTTCGACTGGCTGATACCAGTACAAGCAGAAGGCTACCTATTGACCATCTCTACACTATTGAATTCTGATGGAGAAAGACAGGGATAACAAACATTGAGAGCTAAGTAGGTATCTCTCAGCCAGAGTGAACCTGGGCTGCTTTCCTCTTCTCTAATGAAATTGACTGTGCATATTGTTAAATTAAGTATTGATTGCTTTAATTGGTATGTCTCTTTTTCTTGTTTATAGCTCTATACATTTATTCGTCAGTCGTCTTAATAAACACAATCCACTTTTCATTAGCATTAATGATAAAGAATAAAATAGAACAGAACAGGAGTTGGAAGGGACCTTGTAGGGCATCTAGTCCAACCCCTTGCCCAAGCAAGAGACCATACCCCATTTCTGACAGATGGCAGTCCCGTCTCTTCTTCAAAGCTTCCAGTGATGAAGCTCCTACAACTTCTGAAGGCCAGCTTTTCCATGGGTTGATAGTTTTCTCTGTCAGAAAATTTCTCCTTATTTCTAGGTTGAATCTCTTCTTGTTCAGTTTCCATCCATTATTCCTTAATATATATATTGTCTTAATATATAAGACAACAACACAACCCTCTTGTCTAAGTTCAGACCAAAGAGGAAAAATCTTTCTTGAAATGAATCACATGTAGTATATTCTCATCCTGTTGGAGCTCCATTTTTGGGGTGGGGGGTGGTGGTGGGGGGTTTGTATATAGATGTCGTATCTTTCCTCTTAGACCCTTTTCTCATTGTTTGCATTGGTGCTGGCAGGCCTTGGTAATTCCAATCTTTCCCCCTGATCCTATATCCCTTCCTCACTGATCATATAACACTGTATCTAACTCAAATACAGATTCATGCCAATCTTTCCAGCTAGGAAAATGATTAGTTTTCACTGCTTAATCTCTCACAATTCTCCTGGTCATTTTAGTGACGTGAGTCCCTGTGATCAAGTCAGGGTTGAGGAGTCATTGGTAGATTCCTGGAGCGATGCCTGTACCTCAAGAAGGGGCAGGGAACATGTGCCAGTGCCTCTTCGTTACACAGTAAGCATCCCCACCAGCAATGTTGGTGTTTGTGCGTGTAACAAAATTGTGCATTTTGTTAGCAGGGAAAGGCTGGGATAGCTCAGCTGAGTCAGCGGTGTAAGGGCTGAGTAACATTAAAAATGCTAATGGCTAAAGGTTTTCATTCAGAATTGGTTTTTCTCCTATTTTAAGTTGCTGGTTTCTGTTTGTTTTGTTTTTTTCCACAGTGGACAAACAAGATACAACAAAGAGAAGATAATGCAAGGTTTGTCTCAACTGGTGGTTATTATATCTCAGTGCCCTTTACTTTTATTTGGATATTAAATACTGGATTTGTACCATTATTACAGGTAGTCCTTGACTTGAAACAGTTCCTTTAGCGATTATTCAAAGTTGCAAAGGCACTGGAAAAAGTTGCAGCATTCCCACGGTCATGTGATCAAAAATTCCGTGCTTGGCAACTGGCATGTATTTATGACAGTTGCAACTGTCCCAGGGTCATGTGATCAACTTTTTCCACCTTTCTAAAAGTGAAGCCAATGGGGAAGCCAGATTCATTTAACAATGGGAGCGATTCACTTAACAGCTGTGGCAAGAAAGGTCATAAAGTTGTACAATTGTTTCACTTAGCAACAGAAATGTTGGGCTCAGTTGTGGTTGTAAGTTGAGGACCACCTGTACTACATATATCTGAGACAGCTGGGGGCAGATTTTCCTGCTTCCACAGTGTGAAGAATGAGTTCTTTCACATGCTCCAAAGCATCTCTTTTGAGGTTTCCCTGGTTGGCATTGTGTTGTGACCCAGCTCCCCAAACACAACAAACCCTCTGTAGTTAAACCAATGATTCCTTTATTAAGAGCACCAGCAGCCCCGGCAAAAAGTCTCTGCCTCTCCCTCCCTCGCCCCCCTCCCCCCCCCCCCCCCCCCCACACACACAGCAGGCTAACAAGTCTGTCCAGCAGGGAGATCTCCACCCCCTGGCTTTTATCCCCAGAGCTAGAGTGGGGCTTCGCTAGCAGCGGCGGCTCTTCCGTCCCAAGGACTGGCTCATAGATTTCCACTGCTCTCTCCTCTCCTCTGCCTTCTGCGCATTCGTGAGTCAGGCACTGGACCCAGCTGTTCCTTCTCTTCCTCATCAGCCACCTCCAGTCCTGGGAATGTTGACTCCCCATCTGAGGGCTGACGAACGGCCCAGGCTCTGCCTCTGTCTCTCCCTCTCTGCCAGCTCCATTCCCTTTTCCCCCTCGGAGCTCCCAGGTTGCCTTGATGCTGACGCTGATTCCCACGCCGCCGCCTCTTCTGATTTGGTTGCTGGAGGGGCCGGCAGCCAACAAGCCACTACACATTGTCCTAGGTGGTGACAGATGGGGTGTCTGCCAGGAGAACAGATTCTCCTGCCCCTCAGTTTTCTGTCTGACCTCAACACAGCTGATTTCAAGGTCCCACTGCAGGTGTAACCATGGATGTGGATTTGCTGTTGAGTTTAGTCACCAACTCCTGTATTAGAGGAGGAATTGTTGCCTTAAAAAAAATTGTCCAAGCGGGTTGATTAATTACAGTACATATAGGTAAAGTACAGTACAGGTAAGTTGAAGTAGTCCTCAACTTACAACCGTTCATTGAATGACCGTTAATTACAACGGCACTGAAAAAAGTGACTGATGCGGCAATCCCATGGTCACGTGATCAAAATTTGGACACTTGGCATCTGCTTCATATTTATGATGGTTGCAATATCCCAGGGTAATGTGGTCCCCTTTTGTGACCTGATGGACCAAGTCGATGGGAAGTCAGATTTGTTTGACAACCTAAATTACTAACTTAACAAGTATAGAGATTCACTTAACGACAGTGGAAGAAAAGTAAAATGGGGCAAAACTCAACCGTCTTACTTAACAACAGAAATTTTGGGCTCAATCGTGGTCATGAGTCGAGGACTACCTGTAGTTTCTAAGTGTATACAGGCAGTTTCTCAGATTCATCTAAGCTTAGTTGTGACAATTTAACACCTTCACAATTCTACAGTTGGGGTTCTAACACTTTAGACTTGACCACAAGCTTGCAAAAGCAAAACATAGGGATATCTTATGTATCTTATTCCATTCTGTGTCTTGAGCCAGTGACATACGTGGCCCTTCACAAGACTATGTGACAAAAACTTTGTCAACTAGTAAAGCATTCCTGGCCTGCTCCTGAGTTGCCATAGGCAGGAGGTGGGGGAAGAACTGATGGAGCAGCTCGGTTGCCATGACCAGAAGCACATTCCACGCATATCTTTCTCCAGATTGTATCCCAGGTTACTAGAGCCAGCTGGGGAGGCATGTTTTTTTCTACAGCCCGGGAAAGTGCTCCGTTGGAGAATGTGATTTATGACACACCCTGGGAGAAGGGGGAAAACAGGGTCATAGGTGGGCAGTAAATTATGTCGGGTAGAGCTGACTGCACATGGGAATTTGCCGACATGTTGCTCCTAATAAATAATTGGATTTCTTTTGAAACTTGGCTCGAGGCTCATGAATTAATTAGGGCATCCATCAAAACCCTGACAAACTGATCTTTTTAAGTTAGGACCACATAACACAAAAGAAAGGAAAAGGCATTTAGCTACCTAAATGTTGACTTTTTCAGAGATGGCCTGGGCTCTTTCAGGAGAGCCTTCCTTTGTAGCTGAACGCTAGTCCCTGATCTTTGGAGAGTATCAGCTGATGATGGCTAAAACATGCTTGTTCTAACTATTGGACTCATTCCCATGGTGGCTCTTGCAGGTCAGGGTGTGGACGAGCCTCTCTCAGACACCGGATTCAGGCAAGCCGATGCAGCTGGGATGTATCTCAGTCATATCAGATTTACTCATGTCTTCACCAGTGACCTGATTCGAGCAAAGCAGGCAAGTAACTTGTAGGTGAAATTGTGCACAAATAAATGTTCTGACTTGTTGGGAGACATAGAAATTTAATAAACAGTAATAATTCTAGGAGTTTGTTTTTGGAGTTCATTTTTGTGTGTGGGATAAGTACTTGTAAAGTTGTAATAATAGTAAAATGAACATATGTTCCATTTTTAATTAGTTTGCCTACTCTTTAATTTGTAACCATTGTTTTCTATTTTATAGACATTAGGTATGTTCACCCCCTTAAGTTATTTATAAAAATAGCAATAGCACTTAGACTTATATTCCGCTTTATAGTGCTTTACAGCCCTCTCTAAGTAGTGTACAGAGTCAGCATATTGCCCCCAACAATTTAGGTCCTCATTTTACCCACCTTGGAAGGATGGAAGGCTGAGTCAACCTTGAGCCTGGTGAGATTTGAACTGCCAAATTGTAGGCAGCTGGCTGCAGCAGAAATAGCTTGCAGTACTGCACTCTAACCACTGCGCCACATATACACATACACACACATTCAGTTTTGCAGCTACTAAGTTGGCTGGGCAGGTACAAAAACAGCCAGGGAAATTATTGGAGCCTGGGAAATGCCCCACCTGTCAATCAACAGGGGTGCTGATTTACCACCAGCTTATCACATACTTGGGAGCTGAGCGCTTGGCAGTACAAGGAAATGACAGCCAATCACCAGCCATCAACACACCAATCAGCCAATAGGAAGGCACCACATAAATACCACCCACAGAATAGGCCAAAGCACATATTCCAGTAGAGAGGAGTTCCCCGAAAGTGGACTCCAACACGAGATCAAAGGCTCAGGAGAGTAAACCTCTGGTACCAATGGCCAACCCAGATTCAGTCTTGCACCATTATCCTGGGACATGTATGCAAGTAGTCCTTGACTTACAGCAGTTCATTTAATGACTGTTCAAAGTTACAATGGCACGGGGGGGGGGGGGGGGGGATGGTCATGTGATCAACATTCAGACGCTTGGCAATTCTCTCATATTTAAGAGAGTTGTCATGTCCCCTAATCCCCTTTTGGGATCTTTTGACAAGCAAAATCAACGGGGAAGCCAGATTCGTTACTAACTTACCAGCTGCAGTGATTCACCTAACAACTATGGCAAGAAAGGTAACGTAAGAAAGGGCAAAACTCAACCGACGTCTCACTCAACAACAGAAATTTCGGGCTCCATTGTGGTCACAAGTCGAGGACTACATGTATTTCCATTTTTTTTTAATGTGTAAGTTATTAAGGAGTCAAGCCTTGACATCTAATAAACACATTTTTTAAAAAATAAATAAAATAACAATCTTTTTCAATGTTCATTTTTAACATTTCAGACCACAGCCTCAATTCTTAGAAATAGCCAGCACTGCAAAGAGATTCCTGTAAAATGTGACGCCCGCCTTCGAGAACGGGTAAGTATTTCCTTGCCCCTAGAGAAGATCAATGCCAGGTTCCCAACGGCTACATCCTAAACTCCGCAGGGCAGGTGCTGGGCCACTCTTGCTTTGGTTGTCTACTTTGTCCCAAAGGTGCTTTTTCAAGAGGCAACTGGACTTTCTGGTTTTTCTTTGAAAGACGTTTCACCTCTCATCCAAGAAGCTTCTTCCGCTCTGACTGGAAATGGAAGGGTTTCTATTCCTTGCAGACAGCTGGTCATTTGCATCCTTTTAGAAAGTTATTGAGGCCACTTGGAGGTTTTTCTGTGACCTCAGGGTCACCTGAGTAGTGCAAATAGGGTCAGCTGAGTGTTGCAAATGGGTGTGGAGCCTTCTCGGAACTGTTGAAAGGAATTGTGTTGTAGACTGGAGATAGAGGATGTTCTATCCCTCCCTCTCTGTGGAGAGGGGGCTGTTCAATTTTGACAAAGATGGCCACTTTGACCTCTCTTTCAAACCTGACATCCTCTCCAAAATATGGATAGAGGCCACTCTTTTGAAAACAGCAAAGTCCACATTTTGGAAAGAGAGGACCACTGGTTTGAAAGTGAGGTCAAAGAGGCCAATCTGTGTCAAAATTGAACAGCCCTCCCTCAACAGGGAGGAGGGATATGATAACTAATTCCAGTCTACAACACAGTCCTTTCAGCAGTTCCAAGAAGACTCCACATCCACTTGCACTACTCGGGTGACCCTATTTGCACTATTTGGGTGACCCTGAGGACACAGATAAACCTCCAGGTCGCCTCAAGGACTGTCTAAAAAGAATGCAAATGACCAGCTGTCTGCAAGGAGTATAAATCCTTCCATTCCCCTCCATCCAATCAGAGCTGAAGAAGCTTCTTGGATGAGAAGCGAAATGTCTTCAAAGAAAAACCAGAAAGTCCAGTTGCCTCTTGAAAAAAGCACCTTTGGGACAACCATGATCTGGATGACTGAGAACCTCCATGGATAGTTGGCTGCCTTGGTTTGCAGAGTGCAGTTCTGTACATGTGCAGGGACCACTGTTACCAGGTAGGGCAGCTGTTCATCTCTTTCCCCCCCCCCCCCCCCCCCCCCCCCCCGAAAAAAAAGAGGGGCCTCAGCCAACCCAATCCAGTCCTTGTCAAGAGGATAGTCTTCCTGTACAGCAGTGTCGGAGAGGTCTAGCCAGGATTAAACATAAGAAGTGATAAAAGACACTTGATGGCCTGCATTATATCTTTGAAATAATCTACATAACCAGGACTTGCAGGAGTCAGCAATTGAGATTAGGTTCATAATAAAAACCCATTTCTTTACCCAGATCTGATCTCTTCTCACCCCCCCCCCCCCCCCCCCCCCCCCGCTGCATTTTTTGGGATAGATGCCTTTCAAATGTTAATCGCTTGAATCAAAACACTTTGTTTTATTTTGATGGTGTGTGCAGCATGATGGCAGGGCAGATGGCTGGCATTCCACCAAGGCTGTGAAAAACCTAACTGGGCACTTCCTTATGGGGGCAGGAGAGGGACGTTTGAGAGCTATGATTGGGTGGTTGAGAACTGAGAGAGAAAGGGGGGTAAAAAGAGGGAAAGCAAAATAAAATAATCCATCTCTAAACAAAAGAGATAAACAGTTCACTGTTATTGTGAAACAATTAAGTGCCTTTTCAATACCTAAGCAGGAAGTTCTGTAGTTTTCCAGAGGAGAGCAGCTTCTTCCATTATCTGTTTAGATAATGTTGCTGTTAAAGTTTTGATGGCTGACAAATGTTGGGTCCAATGAATAAACCAGAAACTGACTGAAATACACTTTCCCCCAGCAACTTTCCCCCCAGACTGTAATAAACTTTCCCCCAATCCACTAGGGAAGAGGTGGTAAAACATTAGTAATAAACTCAGAAACCCTGTTCACGGGTGTTGAAGAGGGCATCGTCTTAAATGCATCAGCTTCCAGGTTCTTTCCAGGTGCAATTCAAGGTCATTACCTTTAAAGCCCTGTATGGCCCAGAGCCAGGCTATCTCCATGGGAATGCCTTTCCCTAAGGCCGTGATGGCAAACCTATGGCATGCATGCCATAGGTGGCACGCGGAGCCCTCCTCTGCGGACACACGAGCCATCACCCCAGTTCAGTTCTGCTACGCATGTGTGCATGCCTCCCACCAGCCAGCTGGTCTTTGGGTTTCTGCCACGCATACGTGGGCAGTGGGGAGCAGGTGGCATGCATGGGAACACATGGGCATGCATGGAGTGTATGCACGGGGGGCAGGATATATGTGCGGGGAACATGTACACATTGCATTTTGGGGGTTTTGCACATGCGCATTCGTGCATGTGCATGCACACTTTGGGCACTCGGTGCCAAAAAGGTTAGCCATCACTGCCCTAAGGCATCTATCCATCTTACCCAGTCAAATGGGTTGTGCACTCTTCTAGACTCTTCTTTTTCTTCCTAGCATATTCCCACAGGTCCAGGGTCCACTTTTCAGATCACTGAACACCACTTTGCATGGTCAGCTGCGTTCTCTTGGGCACAGGCCCACGGCTTGCATATCTTTGATGATGGTGCCTTGGACGCCTGTGAGGTCGTTGGCCATTGACTTCTAGTTGGTAGGCAGTCTTGGCCACGGTGGAAGGTGCTGCTCTCTGGACATGTCCATACCTGCGGAGCCGGTCTTCTCTGTGGTGCCACATCAAAATGCTGTTGTATTGTGTCCTTTGTGATGTGGTCAAGAAGGGAGATGCCCGATATCCAATGGAGCATTTGCATTTCCATGGCACGGAGAGAGCTGTTCCTGTTATTGCTGCCCAGCTTTCAGTGCCATATAGTGCAACAGGGCACTATGGTTGTCTTGTAAATTTAGGGGAAGGATACTCTCCTGGATTCTTCCCCTAAATTTTGCGGGAGCTAGAAAGCATGCCTTTTCCTTGGCAGCCCCTGCCCTATGGAAGACCCTTCCCCATGAAATTCAAGGCTGACCTCCACCCTCCTAGCCTTCTGAAAACCACAGAAGACCCTGATCTTCCCCCCAAGCCACTGACAGAAGATTAGAAGATTAGCACTGTCAAACTGATTGACACCAGTTTTGTTTCTAAACTTCTGATCTGTTTTATCCTTTTAAAATAATTTAATAGGAATTTTAATCTTTGATTGGGGGGCATCCTAGAGTTGATGGACGGGTGTATCAGTGTTGTAAGCAAATGAATTCATTTGTCATCAAAATAAACTCCTGACTCAACAAACCTCGGCTGATTACCAGCCATGGGAGATGTTTGCCATTGAACAGAAGCGATAGAGAGCGATATTAAATGAATACATTTTTTTATCACACAACTCCCCCAAGTCTTTTAGTTGCAGGTGGGAAACCAGGGGCTGGGATTGCAGGAAGGCAGATTCTAATCAGAGGCAAGAATGGTGGGTGAAGCCAAGGAGAGACAGAGGACAAATAAGTTCCTTTGGGTGGGTGGGGGGCTACAGGAGCTGCTTCAGGAAAGTTGCTTTGCTTCAGTTCTGTCATGCCCCTGTCGGAGTCTGAATCCGAAGAGGAAGTCAGACAGCTGTCAGGGAGCGGGAGTGTGGTTCTGTTGGCTGTGGAGGAAACTGGGGAAGGATAAAGTCTGGCTGGGCAGAGCAGGGGAGAGGTAGAGCAAGGGAGAGGTAGGACAAGGGAGAGGGAATTCAGAGGAAGACCCAGGCCCACCCCTTCTTCATCCTAGGGCACGCAGGGAGGAACGGAGAAGAGAGCAACGTGGGTTGCGTGGCTTACGGGAGAGGAAAGGGCCCTGATTCCCTTCATTAGCTGCAGCTGGGAACACTGTGTTTTAAAAGAGAGATTGCACACGGCAACTCCTGGGAAGCAAATTGTGAGTTATCTTTTATGGTCGAGTCTTATCTGTGTTCCTGGCGTCTTCCCAACTGTGTGAGTTTTGCCGTGCCTTCACATCTAAAATTCCTGCTCCTACCCTGCCAACTAATTACTTCAGTTTGGCTTGTTTGGACTTTTAAGTTACAGTTTGTGTTTACCCTGTTTTGGACTGAATTTTCTGCAGTCAAGGGCTGTTCTTGGGAGAGTTTTTCTCTAGCCAGAAGGTAACCTGGACATTGGGGGGAAAGTTGGAGATAATAAAGGGGCACTTATTGACTATCTGCCTGTGTTGCCTTTGTGCCACGCCCCTTTGGGTCATCACATGTGTTCTTCTCCAAAGGAGAAGGAAAATGTGGTCTGCAGCAGGCTGCCCTTCAACGTGGGAATGCGAGTTGCATCCTTGCCACAACACTCACCACATAATTCTCCCTCCTGTCTTGGCAGAAATATGGAGTGGCGGAAGGGAGGCCTCTCACTGATCTTAAAGCCATGGCCAAGGAAGCTGGGGAACCATATCTCTCTTTTACCCCCCCTGAAGGAGAAACCCTGGATGAAGTAAGGATTCTTTTGGGGTTTGGGGTCCATTGGAGAGCGACTGACTGAACCTTTATGCACTTGTGAATGGCTGAGAGGGCTAACTCCCCAGGGCAGCCAGGGTCTCGCTAAAATATCTCCAGCAGGCAGAGAAACTGAAGCTGAACTGGAGAAGATAAGCAGCAGAGGAAAAGAAGAGGCAGCTAAGATGCCTATGTACTTGCACAGCCATAGTAGGTAGCCATGTGTGCAAAGCTTTTTGACAGGTATCAGTCAAAATAGGTCCTTCATACATGCAGGATTTGCAGGTACAAGTGCAAAAGGTTCACACCCACTCCTCCTTGATGGATATGCACACTGTACCCACAAGTACATCTTTACATTCTTTACACTGTGCAGCCATACAGCCACATCTCTCTCTCTCTCTCTCGTATACACCTCCACAGAAGCAACATACAAGTACACATCATTCAGAAACAGGGATAATTTACTCCTTGGTACATTAAGCACACTCAAAAACAATTGCAATAGCACTTAGATTTATATACTGCCTCACAGTGCTTTTACAGGCCTCTCTAAGCGGTTTACAGAGTCATCCTATTGCCCCCCACAATCTGGGTTCTCATTTTACCCACCTCAGAAGGATGGAAGGCTGAGTCAACCTTGAGCTGGTCAGGATCGAACTCCAAGCAGTCAGCAGAATTAGCTTGCAATACTGCATTCTATCCACTGCGGCACCATGGCTCCTAAAATGCCTACATATATAGTCTGCTAACTCAAATACAAATATTTAGAGATGCTTTTAGAGATCACTCAGTTTATCTCTCGGCTAAGAATGCATCAAACTGCAGGGATCTAATGTTGGCACCCCAGCAACAACCCAACATAAATTGTTAGGCTCCAGCTTTGGAGGTAGGAAGGATGGTTGCTGGTAGGTGGGTGGGTGGATGGATAGATGATGGATAGATGATGGATAGATGATAGATTAATAGATGATAGATGGATAGATGATAGATAGATGATTGATAGATGATGGATGGATAAATGATATAGATAGATAGATAGATAGATAGATAGATAGATAGATAGATAGATAGATAGATAGATAGATGATAGATAGATGACAGGTTGATGGATAGATGATTGATAGATCGATTGATAGATGATAGATTGATGGATAGATGATGGATAAATGATATATAGATGATAGATTGATGGATAGATGATAGATTGATGGATAGATGATAGAT